TATGTTTTCACTTATAGTTTGTGAATGAATGCACTGTATTAATTAGTTTATATGTCCAAACAATATGGTCAGTGGCGGACCCAAGATTTTCGGGGAGTGGGTTCACATTTTGTGCACAAAAAAATGTTGATATTTGTATAACAATAAATTTAAAACCTTAAAGGTAAAAAAAGTATCAATAAATAGCATTCTGAGATTAATATTGTAAATTATATGCAATATTTTTGAAATACTGTATAAAAAGTATCAATAATACGCTCATTGTTTTAACCAAAAAAAATTAAAGAACTAAAGTAGTAATTCTAGACATTTCTTCAAATACTAAGTATATCTTAGGAATCTTTTTAAAACAATTAAACTTTTTCACACATTTCAAAAAAAAAATTGAACATTTTTTAATTAAGTTTCAGTTTTCCAAATCTAAAAAAATTAAAACATAAAATTCTACACAACTATAGGATGTGTCCTCTCTTCCATTTTCAAAAAATAACACCTAATCACATATAAATATACTCTCCTTGGATGCCCTTAGTCTACATATAATATCTAATTATATACTACTACTAATAAAAAAATTTTTTGGAGTGGGTGCAAGTGACCCCACTGCAGCCACCCTAGGTCCGCCCCTGAATATGGTCATATGGAATATGCTAAACGTTGATAGTACATATTTTTGCCACTCAGTTTTGCAGTGTTAAACTTAATACTACATCCGTTCCAGAGTATTTGTCCACTTTCATTTTTACACACCATCCAATACACTTCTTTAATCCATTTTATCTTGTAATTTGTATATTAAAAAATTATAGAAATTATATATTAATAATCTATATGTTAAGACAAATCAAACAATATCACACATGACTATATTTAGGCTTATACATTGAGAGAATTTGATGAGTCAAATTGTTTAAATGAACAATTCCAAAAATCAAAAGTGGACGAATACTTCGGGACGGAGAGAGTAACAATAATAAAATTTTGCATTTTGTGGGGGCACGAACGTAAAATATATAGACCCACCATTCATGTCAGATGGCCAAAAGTCACATCTTTTTGAAGAACTAACTAACCCCATTATTTTATTACGGAGTACTCCCTTTGTCCGGAAATAAGCTTCCTACTTTGACTTTTCCTCATTTTTAGTGGAGGCTTGAATAAGGCATGAAATGCCTAAATTACCCTCCCCTTCCTTTCCCAGCCCTGCCACCATTGAGAACCCACCACAGCCTCCACCGTAGCCCCTCCCCTCCTCGCCGCCAGCCCAGCCATTGCCGTCAGCTCCACCACCAATCCATTCTCCGACCATCTCCACCATCCCCCTCCACCATAATCGCTCCACTCTCACCATCACCGACATAGCCCTACCATTAGATCTCAAAGAAATAAAGAATTATGAGAAAGAAATTAGAAAGAGATTAGAAGAAGATTGCAGATCTAGGCTTACCACGGACGCATCCTCACCATCGCCGCCCCCTACCATCGTCGTCGCCACCATTGCTGCCGCCACCATCGCTGCCAAGCTCAGATCTGGAAGAGAGATAAGAGAAATAAGAGGAGATAAAGAAGGGAAAAGATGAAGGGGAAAAGTGAAGAAGAGGAGATGACGAAGGAAGAGAGAGGAGGAGAAAGAAGAAGAAGAAAAAAGAAAAGAAAATTGAATGGAGGAGAGGAGAGGAGGATGAGATGACGGAGGAAGAGAGGAGGAGAAAGAAAGGACCGAAAAAAGAAGAAAAAGTGGAAGAGGGGAGAGAGTGAGAGACGGGAGCAGAAAAAGAAAAGAGGGGGTAATTTAGGAAAAAGTGGTATAAAATAGTAGAATGTGAAGATTATTTTCGGACGAAAAAAAAGGTAGAGTAGGAAGTTTATTTCCGGACGGAGGGAGTATTATTTAGTGTTGTTTTTTCTTTCGAACCCACCATGAATAGTTATGTCTTTCAATTGGTCGAAATAAATTAAGAGTAATTTGCCTAAATATGATTAAAACATAATAGGTTTCTCAATATATGATCATATGTGAAGAAAATAATAAGAGGTGAATTCTTCACTGGGTGGCAGTGTCAGTTTCAGAGGGAGACGGTCGACCGTGGGTTGCTGGGCGGTCGGTCGTGTCGACCGTTTCGGTGGCAGATTCTTCACTGGGTATTTCTTCCTCAAAAAAATCAGCAGTGGGTTCAGGTTCTGTGAGATTGGGGGTAATTTGTGAATGGAAGGGAAAATGGCTTTCAAAGAACTTGACATCTCGACTGACAAATATTTTATTATTGTCCAAATCGAGAAGGCGCCATCCTTTTTGGCCGAATGGATAGCCAAGGAAAACGCAGCGTCGAGAACGGGACTCAAATTTGTCTCCATGGTGGGATTGATTGTGGGCATAGGCAAGACATCCGAAAACCCGGATATGACTATATGAGGGGGTTTTTTCATAGATCATGGAATATGGGGTTTTGCCTTTGTGTAGCTCAGAGGGTGTTCGGTTAATTAGATAGGCAGCGGTGAGAATACAATCACCCCAGAATTTAAGGGGTAGGTTGGCTTGGAAGCGAAGGGCTCTAGCAATGTTGAGAATGTGACGGTGTTTTCGTTCGACTCGA